TACTTGTAATGGTTTTTCAGGAATTATTAAAAAATTCCCCTGACTAAAATTAATTTTCACTAGTTGTATACTACTACTAATATTGGGAATTATAATAAAAAGGGTCTGACTAATAATCTCTGTTACTATCCTTAGTTAAAAAACATTTTTAAAATTTGTCTGATTTAAACTTTACTGTGACCACTTATTTCCAGTCTTGTAATCTTTTTTTAAAAAATACTTTACTATTTTCTCAAAACATAAACGTTGATCTTTAATAATATTCTTGTTTTGACTAAATTTCTAGTGGTAAATAACTATTCATTAGTAGAAATATTTATTAATTGAAAAACTCAGACAATAATTTACTACCTATTACTTCAGGGATCGTCCATATATTACGTAACACTTTTTGGGGGGAGGGGGGGTCAAGCTATTTGTTACGATAAGCCAAAAAAATGGCGCTAATGTATGTAACAGCGTGTTACATGGGGGAGGGGGGGGTCAAAATTTTCAAAAATTAGCGTTACGTAATATATGGACGGCCCCTCAGACATTATAATAATTACCTTTAATTGTCTGACAATAATTTGTCATTATAAACAATAGTTTAGAAAAATTTGTAATCATAGTAAAACGTGAGGTGTTAAAATAACACCAGAATGGATTAAAATAATCTGTAACAGTTTAATCCCTCTAGGATTAAATTAACACCAGAAAGGATTAAAATAATCTATTTAGGTGTTATTTTCAACTATAAATGAAATTTTACCTTAAATAAAACACCAACGATAACGATTTGTAAAAATTCAACGAATTTAGCTTTTCCAGGGAGAATAGTTCAAAAGAATTCCATTAATAAAAAAAATTTTGAATAAAATTCTACGCAAACATTCAATTATTTTCATAAATAATAAAATTTTTTACAGGAATTCAATTATTTATAATTTTTTTTTTTAAATTTCTTCGCAATTATTCAATTATTTTCATAAATAATAACATTTTTACAGGGATTCAATTATTTTGATAAATAATAAAATTCTTTTAAAAATTAAATTATTTTCATAAATAATAAAACTCATTGCATAATTTCAATTATTTTTAAAGAAAAATTCTAGTGAAAAATTCTTAAGAATAATAACTGAATTGAAATATAATTTTGGAGAAGTACAATATTCTTATAATATGAAATAATGATTTTATCAATTTGCCATTTTTAATTAATATAAAACGTGAAGAAATCGATCACTCCGAGTCGAAGACTCGGAGTTATTGATTTCTTCATGTTTTATAGTTATGAAAAAATTTAATTTATTCTTTCAAGTAAAATGTTTCATAGAAATCAAATGTACAATTTTATTACACAATAATATAAAGTTGAAAAATATTATTTCACGAATTTAAATTCTTTCGAATTAAAAATCAGTAAAATTTAGTAGAATTCGTGTAAAAATTCTATAGAATCATTCTAGTAAAATTGTGTAGAATATTCACTAGAATTCATATATAGAATAATTCTAGTGAAATTTTATAGAACTTTTTCAGCTGGTTTTCTAGTGTAACTCAATTTTCTGACTAAATTCGTCTGTAACTACTATTTTCAATTTTGTATAATGTAAGAAATCTTTTGTAAACAATCTTTTCGTCTGACTTAACACGATCTTTACCACTGATCTAAAGATTACAAAGAATATATTTAAAATGAAGCAAAAAAACTATATTTCTACTAAAATAATCTTAATTAATCATTTTTAGAACCTGTCATAAAAATTCCAAAAAGTCTCCTGACCTATATTGACTTTTACTATATATACTGATATCTCAACTTTTTGAGTGAAAAATGGCAAAATCTCGTGCGGTCACAGCTCAATTTTTTTCTTCTCTTTTCCTTCATATTTTTTTTTTGGTCATTTTTTTTCTGAAAAATCCCTTCTTCTTACCTTGAGGTATTCTCTCTAACACATCAATTTATCTTGTCTTCTTATATATCCATTTCCTCGAAACGTCTATTATCCCTTACGATCGCTTCCCGATGCAGTTCACTGCACAAATTCCAACCGAGGAGAAAGAAACGATAAAGGTGGGTCGCGCGAACGTGTGCACCCGTTGGCAAGCAGAGTTCTCACGAAAGAAAGAAAGAAACTGTTTCTGCCGAGGCACACGATTTTAACCCCCCGAGCATGAAATCGGTATACTCGAAACTGCAATTGAAATACGCGATTGCTGGGTGAAAACCACATGCAACGATACATTCGGGTGGAAAAAAAATTTTTTTTCGTACCCCATTTTCTCTTTATATATAAATAGAAGTTAAAAAAAATATATATGCATACTCCGACACATATATCTACAAACTCGACCTACTTTGAAACTATTTTTATATATTTAGAAAAAAAAATACTTCAATACATTTGCGCAAAAATTTATAACACTATATTTAAATTAATTTAGAAAAAAGTAAATTTTGTAGTATTTAACATTTTTTTTTAAATAAATTCTATCATTAAATTTCTAAAATAATAATTTTATTATTATTAAAATTTTTATTTTATAATTTCATTTTTCTAAAATTATTTATTTATTTATTCTAGGTTAAAATTAATGAAATTAGTTTTTAAAAATAATGCAACTAACGTACATAAGTATTATCTGGAAATAAATTAAAGTAACATTGATGATTTTCTTGATGTAATGAATTTTTATGCGCAATTGACTAGATAGTGAAATATCTCTCTCGCGTCTGACAACTTCGTGCCTTTACTACTTAAATTTAAGTGATAAAGGCACGAGATGGTCATTAATTGAAGAGAGTTTATGCCCCCGAGCCTCTAAAGCGTCACGTGAACAAACTTTCTCTATTTTCCATTTAAAAAACATTTTTCCTAAAAAAGGAAATTACCTTCTTACTGACAAATTAAATCGTAAAATTAAACAAGTAATTATTTTTATTGCAGAACGATATCAATAAAAATCGAATTGGCAGGAAATAATATCATTTTCTTAGAAAAATTGTTTCGTTTTCGTATTAATTTTTTTTTTCTTTTGGAAAGAAAAACATTAGTTATTCCAGTTTCTTAATATTTTTGTAGAAAATTCTCAATTTTTATAAGGAAATAATTTACATTAATTCTATTTCTTAATTTCAATTGTTTTAATAAAATTCAAAGTTTTTTAAAAATAAAGGAAACAAATGTTTATAAATTATATTTATCAATTAGAAAATCAAATTGAAAATGAAACGGAAAATTTTTTAATTTTCAGAAAATAAAGGAAAAAATTTTATTGAAAAAAATGTTCTGATAACTTTATTTGCGAATTTCTTTAATTGTAAAATTATTCGAAAACAATAATCTCTTTTTTAAATATTTTAAATATTTAATTATTATTATTTTTACATAGGAATTAAGATTTTCAAAAAATTTCAAATTCAAACCTTTCTGAAATTAAATGAATTTAAAAATATTTGTTATAAAACATAAAGATAACGATTACTCCGAGTCTTATAAAGAATTTTATTAAAAAACTTTTTAAATAATTTAATTTTTTTGACGAATTTCGATAAAAATTTTTAGAATTTATATTTTTTTAAGAATAATTGAATTATTGAGAAGAAACTTACAAAAAATTTGTAAACATTTGAATTCCTGTGAAATTTTTATTATTTATGGAAATAATTAAATGTTTGCGTACAATTTTATTATAATTGTTTTTAAATAATTTAATTCTTTTGGGTAATTTTATTAAAATAATAGATATTGAAAATCATTGAAATGAATAAAAATGTTGACAAGAATTTTATTAAAATTTTTGTAAATAATTAAATTTTGAAGAAGAATTTTTTTATTTATAAAAATAATAATTGGACTTTTGTCAAGATTTTTTTGTAAATTTTGAACATAATTGAATTTTGTAATAAGAATTTTATTACTTTTGAAAATAATTGAATTTCTGCAATCATTTGTAACTTCTTCAAAATTCAAGTTTTTTAGTATTTTTAAGTAAAATTCTTCTATAAATCCATTATTTATAATAATAAAAAATATTGAATATATATTGATAAATTAAATATTTAAGTAAAATTATTCATCAAATAATTTATTTATTTTATGATAGTTGTTCAAGTTTTAAGTTATTTAAAAAGAAATTTTTGTCACAAAATTGAAAAAATTGAAGGTTTTTTTTATTAGAATTCGAGGTAATTTTATAGTTTATGAATTCTAAAAATTTAATTTTTTCCAATACTCTTAATAAAAATTCCTGACTTTTCCCTCAATTCACTATGTCAGAATATATGATTATTATAATGATAATATAATATTAAAACTATATATTCCAATTCGTATTTCATTTTTATAAAAAAAAATTTGAATTGAAAATTTTTGTGTTCTTTTATTTTCAAAATTGCTAATTTTATTTAAAAAAGTTTAATTTTATTTTAAAATGTTAAAGTTAGTTTGTTATTACAATAGTTATTAGGCTCAAAGTAGTTATTAGGCTATAGATAAAAATTAGACTTTATAAATCAAATATATCTTGTTATTAGCTCGTTTTTTTATGTCATAAATAAATTAATAATTTTTATTGTTGAAAATTTTATGTCAGACCATATCTGCGGTTTTACTACTTTCATGTAAAATTTCATTGCTTTAGTTTAAAGTTTCTTCAAACTGTAACATTGTTGTGAAACTTTTAAACCATTGTTTAACAGAATGTAGGTACATTATTTTGGAAAATAAATGTTTCTTTTCCACTTATGATGTACTTTTGTCTTATTTCAAAAAGTACAATAAAAAAAACTTTTTCTATTTTTCACTCAAAATTTGAAATTTAACTACACTTGCACTGTAAAACGAAAAATGTGTTTTTTTCTTAATATATTTATTTATTTATATAAACGTGAAATTTTTCTGCTGAAATAGGTATAAAAAATGAGTGAATAAAATAAAAAATAAGAGTAAAAATAAGAGAAATGAAACAAATAAAATTGCAATAAAAAAGAAATTGGTAATTTTTGATTGCAGGTCGCCCCATTATTCACCCACTATCGCAGAACTTGATGGCATACGAGGGTGAATCATTGGATGTAATAGTTGAATTTTGTGCGGAGCCGTCCTATACAAAGGTCTTGTGGATGTCGGAGAAATATGTTTACATACCCGGCAGTGAAACACGTGATGGTGTCCACGCGCTAACGATAGAGGTATATAACTATAAATTTTACCTTCGCTCACGGGCACTTGAAACATATTATTCTTGAGCTTACATCAATCCACTTTGCTTTCCTTGTCTAAACGTAGACGATGCATTTCGTGAATTTGCATTCCACTTTGAAACCGAATTAATTATCGAGCGATTTCATTCCTCTCGCTATCTCATCCTTTATATTTTAATCCTTCTTCTATTATTTATTAATTATTAATATTTTTATTACTATTAATTATTATCATTACTATTATTTTTTTTTCATTATTACTATTTTTACTTTTTTAACTATTAATACTATTTTTACTATTATAACTACTATTATAATTTTCACTATTATAACTATTTTTACTATTTTTATTATAATAATTTTTTTTTCCTATTTTTACTATTATAACTTTTATGATTATTTTATCATAATATTATTATTTTTATTATCTACAGCCAAATGCAAATTGAGTAAACTATAAATGTATATTTCTGATTATACATTTTGGCCGCAAGGGCTCAAAACTTAATGAACGCTAATCAAATACGGATGTAATGCTGTGGTTGAAAAGTAAATTTTGTTGGAGAAAAGTAAACTTTATTTTAAAGTTAGTCAACCATTTCATTGGCATGAGAAATTCTATTATATTCGCGCGTTATTAATAAGTTTAATTTCTCTTTATCGCGATAAATTATTATCAAAGAAAAAAAATTTGTTTTCTAGTTCAATAGAATTTTAAAAGTTTCAAGAAGTAAAAATTTTTCTGATTGAAAAAATTTATATTATTCTCTTTTACATTAAAGAAATCTTGAAATTTTCATTTCTATTTGTAAAAATACCGTATATTTAAAAAGAAATTTTTTCTCCAAAATTTATAGACTGATATATTTCAAAATACACAATTTAAATATAAACAGTAAAGAATATTCTAAAAATAATATTCTTTTGGTATTCTACAAATTTAAGTGTATATTCGGAAATTATTATTTTAGATTATATTTTTAAAGATAGAATAAACTTTTCCTCGATATTTTCGAATAAGAGAAAAAAGAAATGAAAAGTTCAAAGTTTTCCTGCTTTTCACGCATTGTTGAATATTGTTTTTGATATTTTAAATAATTTTCCTACCTGTTTTGTATGCATAAATAATTCACCACAATTTTTCCCTGAAGCATAACAATATTTAGGTTAATCCTCTTTCTCCTTCTCTCCCTCTCTCTCTCTTTACGCAAATATTATTTTAGGAGAATCAAGAGCTAATGCAGATTATTCCGGTAAACGTGACGATTCGAGTTATCGACAGTTTAGATTGAAATACCAGAGTCAGGTTATAAATATAATTTTCATCTTTTAATCTCGGTCAAATGGTAATAAAAAAAAAAAAAAGAAATGTCGACTATCTTTCATAAAGTAATTTTCAATTTAACAGCTTATCCTTTTTCCTTGCATTTGAAATTTATACAGTTTGATATATATTTATTTTTTTCTAATAATTCAAAATAGACATTTCAGTTGATTTCGTTTGGCAAAATTTAAAATATAGATTTTCGTTTATTTCCTGTTTCTTAATCATTTAAAATATCTATTTTAGTTTATTTATATTTTTGATAATTAATTACTACCAACAAAGAAATAATTCTAATCATGAATATTATTATTTAATTAATTAAAAATTGTTTGATTATTAAATGTATTACTAGTTGAAATTACTCATCTGTCTGACTGAAAATTGATTTTTACTACTTAAATTGATATAAATCATTATGCAAATTATTCTCCTTTTTATTTATAAAAAATACTAGAAAATTGTTAATTGTTAAAAAATTTTGATAAAAAAGTAAGAAATATATCCATTTTATGCATAATTTTTATTTATTAATAACAATGTTGTTTACAAACTCATTTTTTTCTTTTGGGAAAAAAACCATTAGATATTCCCGTTTCTTAATATTTTTGTAAAAAATTCTCAATTTTTAGGAGAAAATAATTTGCATCAATTCTACTTCTTAATTACAATTCTTTTAATAAAATTCAAAGTTTTTTAAATATAAAGGAAAATAATGTTTACAAATTATATTTGTCAATTACAAAATTTAATTGAAAATGAAACTGAGAATTTTTGAACTTCTGGAACATAAAAGAAAAAAGTTTTTTAACAAAAAATGTTCTGTTAAATTTATTTACAAATATCTTTAATTGTAAAATTATTCTAAAACAATAATTTGTTTTTTAAATATTTAATTATTATTATTTTTCCATAGGAATTAAGATTTTAAAAAATTTCAAATTCAAACCTTTTTGAAATTAATCGACTTTAAAAAAATTGTTATAAAACATGAGGAAACCGATCACTCCTAGTCGAAGACTCGGAGTGATCGATTTCCTCATGTTTTATAAAATTATTTTAATTTTAATAAATTTTTTTAATACAAAAGTGAATTATTTATTGAATAATTGAATGTTTCTTAAAATGTACTTCTTATAAAGAATTTTATTAAAAAATTTCTAAATAATTGTATTTTTTTGACGAATTTTAATAACATTTTTTATAATAATTACATTTTTCAAGGAGTTCAATTAAAATTGTATTAAAAATAATTGAAAATCTGCGATGAGTTTTATTATTTCTGAAAATAATTGAATCATTGAGAAGAAACTTATAAAAAAAATTTGTAAATATTTGAATTCCTGTGAAATTTTTATTATTTATGAAAATAATTAAATGTTTGCGTAGAATTTTATTAAAATTTTTGAAAATAATTGAAAATTTTGAAGAAGAATTTTCTTATTTATTAAGATAATAATTGGGATTTTGTAGAGATTTTTTTGTAAATTTTGAACATAATTGAATTTTGTGATAAGAATTTTATTACTTTTGAAAATAATTGAATTTCTGCAATCATTTGTAACTTCTCCAAAATTCAATTTTTTCTAGTATTTTTAACTAATATTCTTCTATAAATCCATTATTATTTTTAATAATAAATTAAATATATATTTTAGAAAATTTAACTAATTTCAGAAGAATTTGAATTAATATTTTTCAAAAATCTAAGTTCTTTAAAATTTATAATGAAATTCATTCAAAATTGAAATTTTGTTTGAATTAAAATTGAAATTTCAAATTGAAACCTTTTGAAGTTCATTTATTAATGAAAATTGCAAACGCAACTCTTTTAAAATTAAATTAATTTTGAAATATTTAAGTCAAATTATTCATTAAATTATTTATTTATTTTATCATATTGTTTAGGATTTAAGTTATTTAAAAAGAAATTTTTTTCAGAATTGAAAAAATTGAAGGTTCTGTATTAGAATTCGTGGTAATTTTTTAGTTTATTAGTCAAAAAAGGCACACAAATTTAGAATTTTCTTATGAATTCTAAAAATTTAATTTTTTCCAGTACTCTTAATTAAAATTCCTGATTTTTACCTGAATTCTCTATGTCAGAATAGAGGATTATTATAATTATAATAATATTAATACTTTATATTCTAATTCATATTTTATTTTTAAAAAAAAAATTGAATGAAAAATTTTTACGTTTTATTTTTAAAATTTATAATTTTATTTAAAAATGTGAGTGAGTAGTCAGCCGCGCGCGAATTGTTGCTAGTTAAATATTTAAAATTAATTAGTAATTAGAATTGCTAGTGTATTAGTATTTATAATAATGTATTAGTAACTAGGATGACTATTATATTAAAACTTAAATAGTTAAAACATAATAATAACTGAAATTACTAGCAAATATTCTTGAATGGAATTATCAAATATTCTTTAAATTCAAATATCCGAGTAATTAAAGTGGTTTAATATTGAAAATTGTTTACATTTTGGTTAATAAAAGGAAAAAAATAAGAAAAAAAAAGTTGTTAATGGAGGTAGTTGCTTGCGCTGTATAATAAGATTATAATCCTTGGAGGGAATTCTCAAGTTTAGATGAACGGGAGGGATAAGTAACGACTTTGTAAAATTAATGAAGTTTGAAGAAAGTTTACTCAATAATGTATCGATTGAAAAGCAATACATTGAATGAATACTTAATAAGGGTCCGATTAATATTCTTGTACGAACGAGTTACATTAGGATCTATAGTCAACGTTCAAATAGTTCATCTCGATTTGGAACAGACGTAGGAGCCAAAGTTTTTTGCATGCAAGTAGTCGCAGTTTCTTGCTCCATTTAACTCGGCATTTTGTCTTGCCAAACCTTCGTCTTTTATATAAAATATGTGTGTGTGTGCGTACACATATACATATAAATGTATGTGTGTATGCATATATAAATGGAGAGTAAAGGGACGAATTCTCAATTCAGCATTCCATTCCTGTGTTCTCTATATTCACGGGTTTCTCTCTTCTCAATCCTTCACACCCAACGGGGTACTATTCAAAAGCTACGCTCAATATATTATTCAAGAGCATATCGAAATCGAGCAGTTACAACCTCTCGTGGATTTGCAACGCTTCTGCGGATAGTTCGCGTAAGCTCACGTAAATTCTCTTCGCTTAATTACTCAATGCCAAGTTTCCGAGACACGCTAATAATTGGGAGCAAAACAGGAATTAGTCACTTGAGTAGGTGCAAACTCAATCTCGGGAGCTGAATTCTCATGTTTACGTGTTCTCATGATTTAACTTTACCGTTCTTGGTAGTTATCCGACAAATTGTTATTAAATTCCTCCTATAAATATATATATGCATGTATTATAAATAAGAACATACATTTATATTAATTAAATACATACAGAAAATAAAAAATGGATTCGTAAATGAAATACTTACATTCATAAAAGTGTTGATCTTAAATCTCTGTCTGACTAAAACTATTCTTTTACTACTTATACAAAAATTTACCCGAATTAGAAGAAAATGTTTGACTAAACTTGTTTTTCACTACTAGATTGAGAAATTCTGTAAATCAGTAATAGTCACGTCTGACTGAATTTTGCTTCTATCACTGAGACTAAAGTTAGAAAAAAATTTGAAAAACTAAGTTCGACTAAAGCTGATTTTCACTACTTCTCTAAATACGTTTTTTTGAAACTTATAATTTATAGAAAAAATTGTTCAATTCCGAAACGATCTCTAACCATATTTACCGATACTAGTGAAATGATAGTACTACTTCACTTACGATTAGAATAATTTGCAGTTTTATTACTATCATGACTTATTTTTTAATTGTCTGACTAAAAACTGACTTTTACTACTTATAATTGAGAATTCATAAACAAAAAAAATAGAAACAAAACTATAATGAAGAAGGATTAGAAGTTTTTAGGTTTATTACTATAAAAGTTAACTGTCTGACTATAAACTTTCTTTTACTACTTATAATTAAGAATTTAGAAACAAAAAATAACAGAAACAAAGAAGCAAAAAAACAGACAAAAAATATAATGCAAGACTGAGACTAAAATTTTGCAGTTTTAATTCTTTTAAAATTTATTATTTTAATTGTCTGACTAAAAACTGACTTTTACTACTTATACTACTTATAATTGAGAATTCATAAACAAACAAAAAATAGAAACAAAACTATAATGAAGAAGGATTAGAATTTTTTAGGTTTATTACCATAGAAGTTAATTGTCTGACTAAAAACTTTCTTTTTCTACTTATAATTAAGAATTTAGAAACAAAAATTAACAGAAAAAAAGAAGCAAAAAACAGACAAAAAATATAATGCAAGACTGAGACTAAAATTTTGCAGTTTTAATTCTTTTAAAATTTATTATTTTAATTGTCTGACTAAAAATCGACTATGACTACTTATAATTAAGAATTTAGAAATAAAAAATAACAGAAACAGAGAAACAAAAAAAAAACTATAATTCAAGGCTGACTAAAATTTTGATAGATTTAATATTCTTATTACTAATTATTTTAGTTGTCTGACTAAAAGCTGACTTTTACTACTTATAATTAAGAATTCATAAACAAAAAAATAACAAAAATGAAAAAAAAAAGAAAAATGTGAAGACTGACTTAAATTTTGCAATTACTACTAAAAACTTTTGGTTGACTGAATACTGACTTCCACTACTTGTGATCGAGAATTTAGAAAGAAAAATATAGAAACAAAGAAACGAAACAAAACAAAAAACAAAACTTATTGCTAACACTGACTACAATTTTGCTTTTAAAAAACTTTTTTATTAAAAGTTCATTGGCTGACTAAAAAGGGAGTTCTACTACTTAAGCTTCTATTCGTCAGAAAAAAAAATGTTTAGTTAAAACTAAATTTTATTACTAATTTTAATTTTAAATCGTTTAGAAGGTGTTTGTATAAAACTCACTGATCTACAAAAAATAAATTGTTTAATTAAATTATTTCTTACTCACTGGTTTTAAATTTGTATTATTGAAACTATTTATACGTCTGACGAAAGATGACTTTTACTACAAAAATAAACTGTCACTGCAATTAGCAGTAATTTAGAAAAATCTTAAATTTAAAGGTAACATCCGACTGAAATTTTGAACTTACATACAGGGCTCGAACAAGTGAAAGTATTTAAAAATATGCGGACTTTACGGACCAAAAATGAAAAATTACGTACCATTTACGGACCAATTCAATTATTATTTAATTACTTATTTTTTTATTATATTATAATATAATATAATATTTATAATATAATTATTTATTAGATTATTTTTATTTAATTATTTATTTTTATTTATTTAATTATTATTATTTACAAGAATTTTTAACTAATATTCTTCTATAAATACATTAATTAATTTTTGAAAAATTTCTTTAAGAATTTTAAAATTCATTTGTTTACAATTCAATTTTACAAAATTGTTCGTAAATTCTTTAATTAAATATATAGTAAAAAATAAAAGCTTTAAATAATTCTAAAAAAAATTCGCAATTAAAGATTCTGAAGAAAAAAATTTATTCCACAGAATTGTTAGTTAAAAATATGAAAAATTCAAATTTTCAAAGATTTCAATTTCAAACCTTTTCAAAATTTAATTATTTCTGAAAATTTACGCTCTAATGCTTTTAAAATTCAATTATAATCTAAAACTTTAACTAAAATTCATTTTTAAGTCAATGTTTATGAGAAAATTCGACTAGAATTCAATTATTTAAATACAAAAATAACAATTTATTGAATAATTGCATGTTTCTTAAAATTGAATTCTTATAATGATCTTTATCTATAAATTTCGAGGAATTTGATTAAAATTGTATTAAAAATAATTGAAACTCTGCAATGAGTTTTATTATTTATGAGAATAATTGAATTCTTAAAAAGAATTTTATTATTTAGAAAAATAATTGAATCCGTGTAAAAATTTTACTATTTTTGAAAATAATTGAATGATTGCGAAGAAATTTATAAAAAAAAATTGGTAAATAATGAAATTCCTGTTAAATTTTTATTATTTTTTTGAAAATAATTAAAAGTTTGTGTAGAATTTTATTAAATTTTTTTTAAATAATTGAATTCTTTTGGAAAATTTTATGAAAATAGTAGATATTGAAAATCATTGAATTGAGGAAAGTTTTGGAAAATAATTGAATTTCGGAAAAGAATTTAATTATTTCTATAAAGATAATTGAAATTTTGATGAGAATTTTAAAAAAATTTTGAACATAATTGAACTTCTTAGAAGAATTTTATTATTTATTTATTTTGAAAATAATTGAATTTCTGCAATAATTTTTTTTTTATTCCCTGGGATAAAAAAACTCAAAAATGACGATTTTTCCTACTACATTTAACATTTACTACTGATACTAAAAAATTAAATTAAATTACAAAAATTTGTCTGACTGATGTTGACTTTTTATACTAATGATACTTGAATTACTAAGATTTCCTTTAACATTATCAGAAGACAGTTAAAGAAAGTCTAACCAAAAATAATTTATTGTTGCGACAGAAAATTGACTGACTTTACTGTCTACTCATTCAAAAGATATAAAAATAAAAAAATATTTTGAGTAACAGAAAGAAAAAAAAGAAAAATTTAAGAAATTTTTTTTTCTAAAAAAATGTATAGCATTTTTTAGTTTCATAAAAACAAAAAATTTTAGACTGTTTTAGTCTCTAATTACATTATTGTATATCAGAAATTAATAATTTATTGATTGACGAATAATAAAGATTCGTTTATTTTTTTCTTTTTAGTTTGTAAAATCACAAGTAGAAAAATTGAAAAAGATATTGCGAACAGAAACTATCTATAATAACATCCAATATATAAAAGTGTCAAATCAAACATTTTAACAATCCAAAGTTTCTCAAGCGTCAGCAGATTTCTTGGATTGACCGAGAAACTTTTTACTCGATTGCTCGATATACTCTTGCACCAGAGTGAGAAAAAGAAACTTTCACTCTCCCCCTCCCCTTTATACTCTTTCCCAAACACCCTTCTGGTAAGATCTTGAATCTTACTACTTGGCTCTTCTTGAAGAGTAATGAAATCGTTTAGTGATGTTTTTCGCCTTCTCTCACTCTCTCTCTTTCTCTTTCTTTCCATCTCTTCAATTCTCCTTCTCCTTATTTTCCACTCCCCCCTCCTACCCAATCTCAACATCGAGAAATGGTTTCCCAAAGAGTTCTTTTTTCCGCCGCATACACACCGAAGAGAAAAATTTACCACGGATTTTCTTGTATTTCTCTTTTTCAGGACGGCGGTACGGAGGCGTGTTACAGAACTATTCTACGCTTCGAGTCCATCCAGAGGTCGCACGCCGGGGAATGGCTACTCCTAGTTCGGTCACCGGAAGGGATTGCGGACGCTTCCGTTTTACTGAACGTGACGAGGGCATCCGGCTACAGTCACGCCCACATCCGATCGCCGAGTCTCACAATTCTTCTACTGTGCATGATCCTCGGTTTTCTTTCGTCACCAATAAAAATTCAACGTATGAAAAATTATATTTAAAAAAAAAAAATTTACGAAAAAAAAATTTTTTTTTCCCAAACACACGTCAAAATTGCGCTTGATAGAAAATTCAATTTTCTAAAGTGCGAGCTCAGTATTAAGAAACGAATCTAATTGACCGATTTGAATCACCCACCCTTCTCTTTTTTAATAAACCAATCGAAAGAGGAGGGGAAAATTGCCTTCTTATTTTTCAAATTTATCCCGGGGGGAAAATATAATTCCTTTTTGGAACTATTGATAAATTTTGGAACTAGTAATGAATTTTTAAAATACTGATGAATTGTTGAGTCGCTCATTTTTAATTTTTAATTATTTCTTGATTTGTTTTTAATGGCCTGTTGTATCTATACAAATAGCCAGTACTAATTTTTTCGTTCATGAATGAAATAAAAAATCAATGTCAAATTGTACAGCTCAAGGAAAATATTGTCGGAAGATTTTCTTCAATTTTAAATAATATATATAGGTCTTCCTTGAATGCACGTACTATTTATAATGAATTGAATGCCAATAAATTTTGACGGCCTTTATCCTTAAGGTTAAGAAGAGTCGGAGAAGTAAAAAAAAATAAATAAATATAGGGGAAAAAAACACTGCGTAGTATCAAAATTAATGATGCTTAAAGATTTTTAACAAGTGTAGTTTAGTTACAATAATATAAAGCAGTATTTCAAGAGAGAAAGATTAATTTAAAGCGGAAAAGTAAATTTTTTAAATTGTAACCGAGAAGAAAGTTTTATAATAAAATAAAAATCAAAAAGATACAATAAATTCCAGAATAAGAAGAATAGCGTATTTATGGAAATAACAATAATAGCATTAACAGTAATAATAACAATAATTATATTATATTAATTAATTATATATTAATAATTAAATATTAATATTATTATGAATCTTAATTAATATTAATACAGACTTCGCACTCATCTAATATAACATTTATTAGATACTTTTTTACGACTTGCTATTTTTTGGATTTTTTTCAAAGTGACACTAAAAGATACTTTTTTCTTAATTTTTTTAATTTCCTCTTCTTTAAACCGGTTAAATAGCTGAATTAAAAATTAATATTTGTTTTCTTTAAAATAGTCATAAATTCGGGACTTAAAAAAGCTGACTACTAAAATTGACCGAAACTGTTATTTGCATAAAGGAACATTAAAACTAAATTATAATTGAAAATCGAAAAAAATTTTGCAGTTTTATTACTAAATGTTAATTTATTGTCTAATTATTACTTACAATTAGGAAATTAAAAAAATAACAGAAACAAAACTATAATTGAAGATCGCCTAAATTTTGCAGTTTTATTACTAAAAAATAATATGTCTGACTAAAAACTTACTTTTACTACTTATAATTATGAATGCAGATACGAAAAAATATCAGAAACAAAATTATAATCGATGACCAAATAAAATTTTGCGGTATTATTACTAAAGGTTAATTGTCTGACTGAAAACTGACTTTTACTACTTATAATTAAGACTTCATAAAAACAGAAACAAAGAAAAAAAACTGTAATTAAAAACCGACTAAAATTTTTCACTTTTATTTTATTACTAAAATTTAATTGTCTGACTAAAAACTGACTTTTACTACTTATAATTAAGAATTCATAAACAAAATAAAATAGAAAGAAAACAATGAAGACGAACTAAAATTTTAAAGTGTTATATTACTATAAAAGTTAATTGTCCGATTAAAAATTGACTTTTACTACTGAAAATTAAGAATTAAAACACCTTGTTTCATTAGTATATAAAAATTTTGTTACGAAATTAAACTTTATTAATCTAAATTAATTTAATACAATTTTAGTCGTTTCAAATTTCCCTCAATCGAAATTTTAAATTATTAAAGTTTTAAGTGTTGAATTCTCGTAAAAGTTTCTGATAAAAATTCATTAAAAAAAAAAGAATTTCAGTAAAAATGTCAGAAAATAAAATTGAATATTAAAAGAGTTATACTAGAAATTTAAAGAAATGTCTATTTATTTAGTTTATAAATATTTCAAGAAATTTTTAAATTAAATTCTTTGAAAATTTTAATTCCTGTGAAATTATAATGATATTCAAATATTTATTTTCTAAAAATTACTAATTTACCATTTTTCTAAAGAATTATTCAAATTTTTAATCATTTTTATTTTATAAATTCTACAAAATAATTAAATTATGGAAGAATTTACAGTTGTTATTTTTAGAAATAATTAAATTTTAAACGGTTTTACATTAAAATTATTCTAAATTTTTTATTAATTTAATTTTGAAATTCTAAAAAAATTGTAATAAAAATTTTTTCAATATAGTGTTGAATTAAAAAAAATAATTTTTAAAAATTGAGACAATTGGACATTTTTGTCAAATTCCATTGAAATAAATTTTATATTATAAAGAATTTAATTTTTTCACTTTTAAAAATTATTTTTATGATAAGCAAAGAAGCTAGAGCTACTTTTTTCAATTTATCAACGAGTGCGAAGCCTGTGAGATATTAATGTTAATATTAATACGAATCTCAATATTAATATTAACATAAATATGACTTAATATTAATAATAATAGCAATTATATTAATATTAAAATTTTATTAATAATTGCAAAAATAGTAATAATAACAATAACAATAATTGTAAAATTTTCTGAACAAAAGTAATTAACAGCAGGAGAAAAAAAAACAGAAACAAACTTTCGTGACTTTTAATAAGAACCGTCCTCTCTAAAATTAAAAAGCAATTTCTTGAAACTTTTTTGTTCTAAATAAGAAAAATTTTTTTTATTTTCGCAATGAGTACAACTGCAATCGTAGGTAAAGAGAAAAGTCACCTTTTATTTATACAGAAGAAAAGTTTAAATCAAAGATCCATTACTTTAATTATAAAGGAATGTTCCTTTAATTTCCAAGAGAATTGAGTGAAAAAAAAACTTTCTTCCACGGTATACTAGTTGCAATTTACTTTGACAAAAGTCTCAATCAAAATCAAAGTAGAAAAATATAATTTTCTTTAAAACTCTTACGACATAAATAAAAACAAAAGAGAAAAAAGAATTCTATTTTCCCAAAAAAAAAAAAAATTTGCATCTCTAATATTGATACGTCAGTTGATATTATATAGAAAACCGAGAAAAAAAGAAGTGAGAAATTTACAAAAAAAAAAAAAAACGGGGAAATTTAGCTGGGCTTGTCTTGAGATTATTGCTAAATAAATATATTGTCATACTTGTTAAAGCGATTGTAAATAATTGTATAGATAATTTGTATGTAGGGCGGAATTTATATAATTATATATGAATAAATAGAATAATTCAAGGTGTATATCGAAAAAAAGTGTATGAATGAATCGAATGATTGTAAAAGAAACGAGAATAAAAAGAGAAGGAAACGAGAAAAAATAATATAATATACGATAGGAGAAAATAATGAAAGAACGTACAATTGAAATTTTTCCATCGAATTCTTTCTACTTTGGTGAATAATGTATAAAAACTTCAATAATTCGAATCATGATAATAATAACAATTACATATTTTAAGCGAGACACTCAAATTTCCATTTTTTAGCTACAAACAAAAAATATATACACTCAGGAATTATTTTCGCAAAATTTAGGAAAAATTTCTTTAAAAAATTTAGAAAAATCGTCTTCTTAAAATATTACGAAATATTCTTTTTATTTTTAAAATATACCGAATATTTAATATTTAAAAAAAGGAATTTTCAAAAGAAAAAATTACTTCTCATCTTTATTTTAAAAATTTTTTTCTCTCTAGAGTTGAAAATAAATTAAAAATCAAAATATTGTCAAAAAAAAAAGAAGAATCAAAAAGAAGAGTGTCGAGCGCGAAAAAAAAATTGTAAAATAGATCTTTGAGAATTTCCTAACTAGAAAGTGTTTAGTGAAATCAAAAATAATGTTACACATGTTTTTTTTTTCACCAATTATCGCAATTATTGGTGGGGAAAATAAACGAAAAAAAGCAAACTATTCTTCGTAACAAATTGTGAAATTAAATTCTCGGGAGATATAAATATATAAATATAAATATAGATAAATTAACAAATTGTTGTATATGATCTTAGATAAGTAGATTTGTAACATGTATATAGAAAGAAAAAAAAAACTGTAAAGGCTGCGGTTAACGTGAGCCGCGCGACGAATTATACAGTAATACTGTTAGAGATATATTTGACATTTGTTGATATATTTTTATAAAGTTTTATTTAGAGATAAGTTCTCATTCGTCCCCCAATCCCTAAACAAAAAATTCTTTTCAAAACACCACACAATGTTATCCTTTTAAAAAAATAAAAGAACAAAAACAAAACTTTTACGAATACAGGTTTCGAAGCAAAAGAGAAAGAAAAAAACTATAATCCTAAATTGCGTAGAACAGTACACAAGGAGATGAAATAAAAAAAAAGGGAATAGAAAAATCCTGTGAAAATAAAATTTTAGATATATATAAATATAAATTGAGGCGATAAATCGCACGAAAATTTTTGTTTGTTTGTTATTAAACATTAAAGTGTATATAAATGTACATTTTAATATTTTGAAAAAAGTAATCTTGTATATTTAATGTCAATTTTTTTACATTGCTCTTTTTTTATTTTTTTTTTTTTTGAGATGCATATCTAGGCACACAAATTCATGTTCCTTTTCATCGATTCGATGTTTTTTCCTAATACCACGTTTCATGAGGATCTCTTCAATAAAAAACTTGTGAATGTGTTCATATTGTAATAAATGCTATTAATTGAGCCGTGCAATAGATCCCAATCGTGAAATTTAAAGAAACTTACATCAAAAGAATGAAATAAATAAGTTTTTTGTGCGAAAAATGTTTCGATTTGGTTTATTTTAATTCCCAAGAACTATTATTATTTAGTTATTTATTTTTGCTTTTACGTTTTTTATATATTTTTATAAACTGCAATTTTAATGTAGGCTAAAATTTTTCAAATATTTTTATTTTTTATATTTTACTTTTTAAATATTTTCATTTTTTACATTTTTTATGATTTTTGAAATATATTCATTCTTTTTATTTTTTTTTTAAACATTTTCAAATTTTTATATTTTTTTAAATACCTACATTTTTTCATTTTTATTATTAATAATATTTTTTTTTATATTTAGTTTTACTACTCACCGTCTATGATTCTCTTTATTTCTATTGTTCCAATGAAGTCTCATCGAGCATAAAAGCAATTATCTGAAAAATAAATTTTTCGAAGATTATTTTTTCTATTTTTAAATTGATTTTATAATTTCATAATTTTAAAATTGAAGATTATATTTGAAAAAGTATGGAGGAGAATTTCTGGAGGGAAATTAAAAATAAAAAAAAGCTTGCATTTGCTACTGATGACAAAAATATTTCGTCTGACTATAAATTGTAGTTACTACTGATATTAAAATTGTCTGACTAAATTGGAATTAATTAATGAAAATTAAATCTGCCACAGAAGAAAAAAATTTTTCAAAACAAAATTGTTTTGTCACAAAAAGAATATGTCCCACAAATAAAAGAGCAATTTTTTTCCACTGTGGTTTTATGAAAAAAAAAAATTATTATCTTCATATCTCGACACTTTGATTTGAACCTTTTTTTTTTCTTTTTCTCGAAAAATTATCTGAGGCTCTTAAAAGATAATGTCATTAGCCTTTGTGAGAGAACGGAAGTAAAAGCGTTAATTAACAAGGGGGTCTTCATCTTTCCCCGAGCGAGAGATGGTTGAGAGAGAAAAGAGTTCGAATAACCGTCTCTCGGCAGAGCTAGTAAATTACTCTTAACTTTCTTGGTTGGCTTGATACGGGGGCTAAGGGATGGGAGAGAGGGAAAGTAGTTTGAGGGGTTTGAGCAAAAGAGTAAAAATTACAGAGTTCCGAGGCTTAAAAATAAAAAAAAAAAAAAATGCAGTTTCCTCCTTCCGCGGAGGTCGTAATTCTTTTCCTATCTACACAAACCCTGACCTAGTCGCCCGTGGGAATCACGCGTCATTTATTTATTTTTCACATCTCCTCAACAAACTCGTATAACAATGGGAAAAATACACACACAAAAAGAAAACAATTACAACTGAATTTCAAATTTGAAATTTAATTTAGAGACGGAAATAACAAAAAGGGAAGTATTGTATTTGCAAAAATAAATTTTACACTGACTGATTTTTCAGTATCAATATTCATTATTTTATTTACGATTTTCAATTATTTACGAGAAAAATAATAGTCGATAAGCAAATGCGAGTTTTTTTAGTTTTATTTATAAATTCTAAATTTGTTACAAAAATTAAAGTAGCAATATTTTTTCACTTGTATTTTGTTTTAATTTAACTAATTTTTGCATGGCCTTAAACGACATTATATCTGGCCTTGAATTAAGAATTTAATTATGAATATAAGTTTTTAAAATACAATTTTTTTTAAATTCATTGAACTTTTTAAATAATTTCATTGACATAGAAAATTTTTAAATTAATTATTAATCGAAATTTTTCTAAGGATATCAAATTGAGACCAA